CCTTTGGGGCCAGCAGAGCCGAGTCTGCTTCTCGCTTCCAGGGTATTTACTGCTGGTGTATGAAATGCCAATATGGACAGTACTGTCCACCCATCGCACAGGCAGACTAATGGCTGTTTATCGCACACGATGCCCCTGCAGGTGAAACTCCAGGGAGCCCTGGGCCCTCTGAAGAAGGAGCTGGAAGAGGCCCTGGCTCTGACGTCTAAAGAGGAGGAGAAAACCACCGAGTGGCAGGTGGGTGTCTGGGTTTATTCCTCCCTCCTCCCTTCCCCCTTCCCCCTGCAGCGTTCCCAGGAGTGACGGGGCCGTAAAGCTCCAGGATGAGGTTATGAACCTGCTCTGGTTGTTTGCTCCATTGCACAGGGTTGGTGCCGGCCATGGGCAGCGCATCCCTCCGGCATTTGGGGAGGCCGGGCGTGAGTGCGGGAACCTCCCCTGCGCCTGGATCATCGCCCTGCTCACTGCTCCACCCCCATTTGTCCTCCTCTCTCTGAGGCCCCACCCACGCTCCCCTCCTGCTCTGCCCCATGCCCTGCTCCCACTCAGCCCCCTCCCCAGAGGTTCCCCACTCACTGTTCACTGTTACAGCTCGCTCCTCTCACCAACCCCCTCCCACAAGGCCCCCTCACCTGCCACTTGCTCCTTTCTGCCCCTTCTGTCTTATGGGTGAGTGCCGGGGGGGGGAGGAGAGAGAAGCAAATGGTGCCCCCCTCCACAGCTGACGGGGGCAAGCAGCGGGTGCTTCGGGCTTCGGGGGAAGAGCGGGAGTGAGAACTCCTGGCGAAGTGCAGGCAGCACTTCAAAGGCGGCAGGTCTGCAGCCTGCCCCCAAAGGGAGGGGTGCAGCATCCTGTCTGGGGAGGCTCAGCCTCCCCTGGCCAATGGTACCTGCCATCCAGGGTGCTGGCAGCATCAGGCTGTGTCTCTGGTGGGGATCTCAGCGCAGCAGCTCCTGTAGGTGGAGGAGGGGCAGTTCCTGGCCCTTGTGGTGCAGACCCACCCCTGAGATCTCTGATGGGCAAATTTTCCATATTGGGTGCAGTGTTTCCACTATTCCATGGATCCTGTTTCCCTCCTGCAGATGGGGATGGTGTGTCGGCTGCTACAGCCATCAGTTTTCAGTGGCCTCCATGACAAAGCTCTGCAGCTTCTCTGCAGCCTGGAGGAAACAGATTGTTCCTTCTCGCTCTGCACCCACAATCCCTGCAGTGACTCTGCCCAGTGCCTGGGCCAGACACTGGAGCTGGGAGGAGGATTTGCCCCCATGGGTGAGGTTCAGAGTCACTCAGCTGGCTGGGCTGGGGCCACGCTGGGAGCTGAGCTCTTCTGAGCATCAAACCCAGTTGTGGGTGTGGAGCTCTGTGGAAAATCTGCCCCTAGGCTA